TCTAATTCCAACCTCATGGACCCTTCTCTATAAGATCCTCAAGCAACCAGATTTAATGAAAATGTATTACACATATAACACATACATGTATAGTTATTTAACTTTAGTATGTATTTGAAAGTTTACTGAATATTTTTCTTTAAAAATAGAATAAAGTAGTGTTTTAGTCTATACCAATTCTATTTTTATTAATTACTACATATATAATTACTACATAAATTATTACCATACATATAAACTGTAATATTGTTTACAGTGTATATCCATTTGATGTGACTATTCATACATTTTTCTAAACAAATGTTTGTGTTTACTACTAGGTATATGTTTTGACCTTTGAAAAATCTAGAAATTCTGAATTACAAATACATCTGAAACCAAATGTTTTGTGAAAAAAATGGTAGACCTGTACTATAGAAAAGGAGGAGCTGGTGGTGTCCAGACTAATAGAGTAAAAACCTCTGAAGATCTGTTTATAAAAGCAACAAAATACAAAAATTGTCAAGGTCAACTTTTGTAGAACTCTAGAAATTAGAGATTTACAATAATGCTAGGAAGGCTTATTCCAGAAAAGTGGCTGAAACACAGTAAGAACAGAAGGCTTTGAAGCATTTTAGCTTTCCTTGTTTCCACCCCCTTTCCCCAACTTCCTGATAGCCTTGAAAACAGCCTTGCAGCCTAGCAACCGGGCAAGGAACAGAACAGGTTTGCAGCTCCCCAAAAAGCCCCATCCCAGAGAATTTTCATCATTTCACCTCTCTGGCAGTTCTCTGAAAACCTTTATTGTCAAGGTTTGTCTTTATTTGATCTGAATTAGAATTGGCTTGGTGTGAATAATCCTGTCCCCAGGGCTTTTGTCAAGATAATCAGTGGTGATTGTTTAATATCATAGTTCTAGGAGACAGTTTTGACAGTTGGCACTAACAAGAGCCAGACCAAAAAACTTAAAAGGAAACACTGAGGAATGTCCATAGGAGGCTTTGCAAAACTCTGATATTTTATTGGGAATCTAGAATGATTTCCATGAAAAGGGTTGTGCACGTACCCAAGAAAAATGATAGAAGGCCCTAGTCTCTCACTTCTAGCTGACCTTGCAGGTCTGTCAAGCAGGAAGTGAAGGCTAAGTAAGAGCTGTAAACTGCCCAAGGAAGAATTGAAAGCATGGCCCCAACACACAGCACCTCACAAAGCCTGGGAGACATACTGGTTTTTAAGGCATTTAAGGAAATCTGTCCATTCAGAGACTTCAGTTGCTGCACACAATGAAAAATACAGGTGATATACAAGCAGTGTGGGAAAGTGACTTAAATAAACAACAGCAACACAAAACCCCAAGGGAGGCCCATGGGGAATCTGATTTCCAGAACTGCCATATTATGATATTTTAAAAAGTCCATTTTCCACAAAACATTATGAGACACACAAAGGAGCAGGTAAGTATGGTCTGTACACACACACAGTCGGTTGAAACTATCTCTAAGAAGGCCCAGATTTACGGGAAAAGATTTTATAATTGGCTGCTATAGCCATTCTGGTAGGTGTGAGGTACTACATCATTGTCATTTTAATTTGCATCCCTTGATGATTAGTAATGTTGAGGATTTTTTCATTTGTCCATCTGTATGTTCTCTTTCGAGAAATGTCTATTCAGGTCCTCTGCCCATTTTTTAATTGGATTGTTTGTCTTCCTGATGTTGAGTTGTATGAGTGCTTTATATATTGTGGAAATTAACCCTTTATCAGATGTATCATTGGCAAATATGTTCTCCCATACAGTGGGTTCCCCTTTCATTTTGATGCTGCCAGAATGGCTCCATCAGTAAATCAACAAACAAGTGCTGGCAGGGATGTAGAGAGAAAGGAACCCTGGTACACTGCTAGTGGGAATTCAGACTGGTGCAGCCACTATGGAAAACTGTGGAGTTTTCTCAAAAAATTAAAAATGGAGCTGCCATTTGGCCCAGTGATCTCACTTCTAGGAATATATCCTAAGAATCCCAACACACTCATCAGAAAGAATATATGCACACCTATGTTCATAGCAGCATTATTTACAATAGCTAAGACCTAGAAACAGCCCAAGTGCCCATCAGTTGATGAGTGGATAAAAAAGCTATGGTACATTTACACCATGGAACACTATGCAACTGTAAAAAATGAGGATCTCTTACCCTTTGAGACAGCATGGAGGGACCTGGAGAATATTATGCTAAGAGAAAGACAAACGTCACATGATCTCAGTTATATGTGGAATATAATGAACAAAATAAACTGACAAAATAGATCCAGAGACATAGCAGCATGGAACAGACTGACAAACCTCAGAGGGAAAGGGGGGGTGAGACAGGAGAAGATTAACCAAAGAACTTATGCATATATGCATAACCCATGGACAAAGACAATAGTGCTGTTGGCCTGGGTCAGGGGGGTGGAGAGGGGTGGAG